AATAAAAATGTAAAATATTTGAGTAACAAACAAATATATAAAACAAAACATATTCCCGCTCTTTTAGTGGGCGGTTCAAATCTAGTCTTATATAAACAGAAATCAAAACTCCTTTTAACGTGTGATTTTTTTTAATTAGATCTACTTTAAATATTTGATTAAATGTACCATTATAGTAACCTAATAATATCACGAAATCTTAATCGATGATTTTGTTTGTTTACCTTGATGTCACTTTGAAACTATGTCAAAGCTTTGAACTTTTCTCAGATTTTTTGTCTGTCGATTTTTTATCGAAGTCTTGTGAAAGATCAGATGGAAGATTAAAGTTTTGTTTGGTTGGAACTCTATTCAAAGCGTTCTCCTGTGGATCAAAGGTCAGAAAGATGAATTCACAAACTTCAATAAAACGCATCCATGTCTCTCGATGAGAAGATGGAATTTGATTGCAGCAAGGATTTTGTCGTTTGTCCTAAGCCAAACGTGTCAGTTTACTCGCCAACAACGTCGTTCTCCCTCTCAGATTATTTATAAGCATCCTTCTTTTTTCTTCCCTTGTGATTAGAACCAAACATTAACCCTAACTTGGTTTTGATTTCAATTTGTAGTCAAACTGCTGATTTGTGTGATTTTTGGATATCAGGCACATGTCTAATCATATAATTTTGAATCAATATCTTTCTCTGATTTACTTGATGTATTGGTCTGCCTCAAAAGCTTTCCTTCAACTCAATACTCCTTTTCGTTGTGCTTACCTTTCTACAGGAGGATAATGGAACAATATCTCATATGTATCATCATCGCAGTTATCAATCCTCATAGCCAGTAGTCTCTATCTCAAGATCCACAGATATATTAGGTTTTACTAATAATCACTGTCTTACTAATCATCCCGGTGAGTATGCATAGGAGGCATCAGGAAGCGTAACATAACGAAATTAGATATTGTTTATAGATAGCCATTAGAAAAAGTTTTTCATGACGGTGTTATAACAGACCTTAAAGAAACAAAACCACGTTAGTCAGTGCATCAGATTTTCCATTATCAACACAGTTGGAGACGCCGACTTTAAAGAGATAGATGTAGAAGTCTACGTCTTCTAAGAAAAGGAAAAATATATTAATGATTCGTACAGCTGAGAATATGATTTTTTGTGTAAACTGTGTTTTTTTTTTTTGGTGGTATCTTATAGATACTAACCCAGATAGAGAACACTGTTTCACGAGCACAACGGGTGATAAACTTCACGAGATACCATTCAGTTGTATCTATAAGAAAATTGGCAACACAAAACGATATTCAGAAAGATGGATGACTCTTCCTTAAGATAGAACTCATATTTGAGATGGATGACTTTTCCTTCATGATCACTAAAAAAAAACAGTAGAAACAGAAAACAAAATCAAGGACCATAATACTACTCCCTCTGTTTCAATTTAGTTGTTATTTTGGTTTTTTACATACAGATTAATAAAACATTTAATTTTATATATTTTATAGAAAAAATATGATTACCCATACACCTAACCACATTTCAACCAATAAAAATAGAATAATAGATAAAGTTAAATTTTGCATTGAAATTAAAAAAAGACAAGTATTTCTAAAACAAAAAATTTTACTCTACAACGACAATTAAACTGAAACAGAGCGAGTATAAGTTTTGTAATTAGTTGGTAATAGAAAGAAAATCATAATTGACCACACATGAAACAAACTGTATTGGTGGAATAAATCCCCATCAGTTTTTTAATTCATATACTTTTTAAATAAAAATATATATGCAAAATTCTAACAAATCCGTTCAAAAATAAATATATATAAAAAATTCTAACAAATCCGTTCCAAAATATTACAAGTTCATAGTTTTTTTAAAAAAAGATATAAATATTTTCACTAATTTCTTATTTAGTAATGAAATACTATTATACATCAATATATATATATATATATAGTTATTGTTTACAAAAGGAAACATAATGTTTTCCTATTTTATATAATCGTAATATTTCACATTAAATTAAAATTATTATTTTGAACTAAAGATGATTTTCGTATAAGTTGATAAATTAATATATTTTAATTTCATATATGAAATATATAATATTTTGGCAAAGCGGGTTAACATTAGTAAAATACATAATACATGTATTAAAATTAACATATCTTAAACTATATTTACAAATAAACTAAATACAAATAAATTTCAAATATGTTGTTTCATGCATTAATTATTTTAATAATAAAAAAATTCAATAACATAAATATATAATAAAAAGTGACAAATACATTTGACAATTTGAAATAAAAAATAGATTAGACTTAAACAAAAATTATAAAATTATTTTATTTAAAATAGTCACATCAACGTTTACATATATGTTCAATGTTAAAAGTATATACAACTAATAACGTAAAACAAATATTTATTTATATAAAGCTAAAAAAACAAAAACCTGTGCAATTGAAATAGTCACATCAACGTTTAGATATATGTTTAACGCTAAAATATATACCTCTAACAACGTAAAAATAATATTTATGTATATAAACCTGGAAAACAAAACATGCACGGTTGCGCGGGTCGAAATCTAGTTATTATTAAAAGTTTTAAACTAATCACGTAGTCTGATTAAAACTAATGAGATATTTTCAAGCTTTTAATAAACTATTCTATTAAAATAGAAATACAAAATAATACTTACCTATTTTAAATGGTTATTTACATATTTATATTACACTTCATTTATTTATTTTTTCTAGATAACCACTTCATTTATTGTAATCACTTCATTTATTGTCTTGTCTAAATATGAAATCCTGATGAATTCGATTTTGATGTATAGATACCTTAAAATATCCAAAAACTAATCTATATAATAATGATTCACTTTTGAAGCTCCTAAGGCTGTCCACATCAGCAAACTTGCGGGTCCCGCGTCTGTGTTATCAGGAAACAAAAAACGTATAAGATTTTTTAAGATTGAATGTTATCAATGATTAAAGATTTGGCCGAGTGGTTTAAGTTAATGACGAGAAGTTTGTACCGTGAGTGCGCGGGTTCAAAACGCAGTGCTTGCAAGTAATTTTTTTTTCCATTTGGGCTTTTAGGGATACCTAAAAGCTTAGGGAGATTCAGAATAATTTTGTTATGCTGGTTGTTGGGATACAAAATGACTTAAGGACAAGGTTTTGAAAACCGGATCGGACCGGCCGGTCCGACCGGTTGGACCTTAACTCTTTAGGTAAGACGAGTCCGGTCTGATCCAAAACTCGGGATTGATCAAAACCGAAAAACCCGGCTTAAAACCGGAAAAACCGGTGACCCGGTTGAACACTGAAACCCGATTTTACAAAATACAAGAATCTGTTGAAATTTTACGTAATGTTCATTGCAGTTTGCTTCTAAAAGATAGGTGAACTAAAGTTAAAATATAGGGCTGTGAAATTATAAAAGATAACGGTTAAATGTTCACATATCCAGGTTCTCAAAACGAAAGAAATTATATGATTCAATTGATTATGAATCCAGTGATAAAATGGAATTTAGGTAGTGGAAGAAAGTGGAGAAGCTGAACAAGTTTATGATTAACTTAAGAATGCACTTACCTAATAAAACCAAAAAGATAGAAAAGCCTGTGACATCTGAAACCTTGAACTTGAATTATATGTTTCTTTGACCATGCTCGCCATTATTTAACTCATACATTTTAACATTTCCTTTATTAAGTTTTTGATATTTCCAACAGATTTGGTTTTTAAATTTGCCATATTTGCATTAAGTTCTTTATGTAGTCAAGATTCTGTTATTTTTTCAATTTTATGATAATATTTCTAGATATTAGTCATTATACATAATATATATATGATTATATATATAATAAACAAAAACCCGGTTCGACCGGTTGAACCGGTCCGACCAGACACCTAGTAAATATATCGAGTCGGTATCCGGTCCGGTTTTTAAAACATTGCTTAAGGATTTAAAAATTTATGAGACCATCTTAGATACTTTTATAAGAAATGTTATTATGTTCTAACCTCCAATACCATTTCAATTCAGTTATAATCATCAAATAAAATAATAACATATTTTTCAATAATAAATATTTACCCCGAACCATTCAGATCGACCATAAATCTCATATACATCATAATTAAAAAAAATATATATATATATATATATACAACATAATTTCATAAAGAAAATTACACTAATAAACATATGTCCTTTTTGTCTTGTCTCCATTAAATTATTTTTTTACATGAAAGCACTAATAAAGGGAATGCTTGATAAAATCACTACGAAAATAAAATATGAAAATATCAACCCACATGAATTTGATGTTTATTCTCTTATCAGACTAATCAAGTTGTGTGACTTCTAATGTTTCATTCATCACCACTATAGATAAATCAGATAAAAAAATGTTAAAAAAAACATCAAAGTCTCATACACAAAACTACACAACACATCAACAACGTATCCAACCCCCGCGCTTGCGCGGGGACTATGCATCTAGTGTATCCAAAGGTGCGGATAGTTGTACCAAAAATAAATATACTAACTGATTCGGTTCGAGTTAAATCATATAGTAACTAATGTATACAAACTACAAATAATCTAAAAAATAAATAACCAAAAGTAATCATATTATATGATTTGATTCGGGTTAGATTTTGATGTATAACAACTTAATACTCAATTAATTATACAATGACATATCAAATATATAATACTAATTATGAAAACAAAATAATAGTTTATAAAAATATAAAATATTAATAGCCGCACGAGCATGCAGATCAATCTTTAGTTAATAACTTAAACACACACAAAAGTAGTATAATTAACATCTTAGCCACATGACTTCAAACACATTTTAAAATAGAACATGAGAGAGAACATATAGCCTCTCTCAAAATACCCTTACTACCGTAAAGGATACACAACAGCAGTTTTTTTTGTTTCTGAACCAATAAATAAGAAAAACCTAACTTAGAAATCATTAGAAGGAAGTGGTTCATGCCCATTACTACAAATAAAGATAGTGTCATAAACAATAGCTGCGATGGCTGCACCAATAAATGGACCAACCCAGTAGACCCAATGGTTCGTCCAGGCCCCGCTAACCACGGCCGGACCAAATGAAACCGCCGGGTTCATGGATGCCCCGTCGAAAGCACCACCAACGAGAATATTAGCTCCAACGATTAACCCAATCGCCAAAGGAGCAATAATTCCAATATCACCTTTGTTGGGATCCACGGCAGTAGCATAAACCGTGTATACTAATCCAAACGTCATCACAATCTCGAAAACGACTGCGTTCCACGGCGTGACTCCATGGGAAAGCGAAAACGCTGCGGTTTCCATCCCGCCAGTGCTTACCTTGAGCAACATGCAAGCTACGACTGATCCTAGTAATTGAGCGATCCAGTAAAGAATAGCTCTTAACAACGTTATGTTTCCACCGATGAAAGCTCCGAATGTAACAGCCGGGTTTACATGACCGCCTGATGCGTTTGCTCCTACTGAAACCGCCACGAACAACGCAAACGCATGAGACAAAGACGCGGCCACTAGACCGGAAGGTGTAGCTGGACCATCTCCTGTTAGCTTTCCGTAAGCCATACCGGAACCTTGACCCGCAAAAACGAATATAACCATGGAGAAAAACTCGGCGAGAGCCGCTCTGATGGCATCTGGACGGCTAGCTTCTCCTGGCGTTCCAATCGCGATTCTGTTGATAGCCATTGTTACAAAACAAAATGTTTTGCTTTTGTTTTTTTCATTCAGTTTATATAGTTGTAGCGGGGAGTGCCAAGTGTGTGCTGGAGAATCGTTCAAGAGACTGAGACTAGTGTTTTACGGTGGGCCTTATGCTTTGAGATTAATAACTGTGATTATCAATTTGGATTAATTATAATAACTTTAGTTACAATCCCTTATATATTAATTGAAAAACATTTGAAAAATTGTAAACTTAAATTTGTATTAACTAAAAAATAACCTCATCCTAGGTGACACTTCTTTATATTTTCTATTTCAATTAAGAAGGATTCTACAGCACCTTATATAAACTATAGTTTTAAAACAATGTCCGTTGATCTCATATAAGACATATCAAACTAAATCTTCTATATATTATTTCCTCAAATAAAACATATGTGATTAAGATATATATGACTTCTAATGATTTTAAATAATAAAGATTTGTTAACAATCTGTATACTTTATATCATTTTTGAGTAATTTTTACTATTAAAAAAATTAATTAGCTACACTAATCATATAATAAGAAATTATATTTTTTATATGTTGTATTTTGAAATTTTTAAAACGAGTATTAATTACTAAAACTGTTAAAAATCTCACATAAACTTTTATGATCAAGGTCTAATTTTTTTTCTATAATAAACTACAATGATTATAAAATCATATGAATAAACAAATTTATTTTAATAGGTGTTTATGTTCATATATATATATATATCATATCATATCGTATGAATAAATAATTTTACTTTAAACATAATTCTAATTTATAATTTAACTTAATTTTTTAATAAAATTATCTTTTATTCAAAACATAATTTTATGATATTATTAGACAAATAAATAAATTATATTAAATTAGTTTTGAAACTTTATATATTTTAAATGCAAATATTCTACCAACTGCTTCTTAAGAAAGCATTAGGGAATTTGATAATGTTCTACCAATTAAGTCATGTGACACTTTATTTATTTTTCATCACTTGAACACTGAAAAGTAAAATATATATGAACCAGATCCATTAAATTCTAAGTTTTGATCTACAGTTTTAACTACAATTGTGTCTGATCCTATGTATAGATAATTATATAAAAATTCAAAAATTCCAAATACATATAAAAGTTATCATATGTAAATTTTAAATTTATAAATATTAAAATTTTATATTTTAATTACATACATTCACTCTGTGCAGACGCAGTTCTTATCCTAGATTAACTTATTAGAGAGCTTGACCTGTTTTTCTCGCTTTCCATAAATAATCGCAATTAAAGATCACGCACTTTACTGTTTTGTTTTCCTAGTCAGTTTATCATCTCCTCCACATATGACATTATCGACAAGTGAGCTTTGATCTTGGGCTAAGCTGGGCTTCGTCATAGGCCACCTAGAAGAGGATACAAGATTATAATGTTAAATATAAGCCCAATGCCATAAGTGTACTTAGGTTAGTTGCAATTGCTAATAGCGTAATACACATGTATATTTAGGCCCCTAATAATAATAAACGTATTCATATAAGGTTGAGGTGGCTGTGGCTTTAAGGTGTTAAGCTATTTGGCGTTGTTGCATTCTTTGAGTTCCTTATCTTGCGATCTGGTTTGTGCAAGAAGGGATTTCTAAAGTGCTTGAGTAATCTTTTTCTAATTAATAGTGAAGTGTTGTGGGAGACGGTTCCAGGCCGGCTCACTAGCTCACTATCATTAGAGGTTTTAGTGCAAATTTTCTTCTTCTAAGCATGTCAGTTCATATTATTAACAAATTTAGACCCCTAATAATAATATTTGTTCAAAAAGACCCTTAAAAATATAAAAAATTTCTAAATTTTGAGTGGGTTTTGGGGCCATTGAACTGCTTGCCCTTGGTACTTAGCCGGCCGTGGACGGTCCTCATCTGAGATGTAGTGGTAAGATGACATAAATTCGGTAGACTGCGCATCCCTATCAATCCTTGACCTGGATCTAGGAAAAAGCCCACTTGAGATCACAGTCCAAGAAACAAGAGCGGCCCAGCTCACTAAGGAAGTTACGGATATACTGGTTAGTGCAAGATGAGATTTCTAAAGTGCTTGTGTAATATTTTCTAATAGCGAAGTGTTGTGGGAGATGGTTCCCACCCGAGATGTACATGTTAGAAGCCATAAACTCGGTGGACTGCACATCCCTATCAATGCTTGACTCGGTTCTAGGAAAAAATCAACTTGAGATCAAAGTCCAAGAAACAAGATCGGCCTAGCCCACGATGAAAGTTATGGATGTCAAAAGCAATATTATGAGTTTGAGCCCATACCTTTGACAGGCATGCTGACCGGTTAGAGAGGTACGGATGACACAATGATTCACATTAAATGCCTATAGACAAGGCAAGCTGAATTTGCATTGCAGCGAATATATGATCTCATTTTAATAATAATCGAATATGTGATCTCAGACGACGAGCTTTCCTTTTTCTTAATTGGGGCGTCATTTGGCTATAAAAGAAGATCTTTGCTAAACGTGCAAAGGACCAATTTTTTCTCCCGACCAGATATAGAATTCACTTAGCCATCTCAATATTCTTGTAAGAGCGAGTTAGATTCGAACATCGAACTCGCTTCACTTTTGAAATCCACTTTTTACTTTGATTTATTAACTAAAATAGGCATTTGGAAAGATAGAAGCTACATATGCAAACCTAGCAAGTAAGATGACACAAACCAAAAACTTAAACAACCTCATGGAAAATGATGTCTTGACCACAATTATGGAACACCCCCGGCCCTCTAAACTAGTGTCGACAGACGAAAGAACAAAACTCCAAAACATTTATACGACTTTGATGTAAAAGCCAGTGGCGAGCCACCAAGCCAAAACTTCGCAACATCGCCAAGAAAAAAAACAGTTCCCAAGAGGATCTTTATCTGCAACCCTTCAACCGCCGTATGGAGAAAAAAATTCACTGACCAAACCCTTCTGCAACCTGAAATCACAAAGATTTCAGCGATTTGAGAAATATCAAATTTGTGGTACAATTGAAATCCCCTCCCCCCTCCCTCCAAAAAAAAATTAACATAAGGTTAATTTTCTATATCTCTTTATGTATGTAAGTTTACAATTACATACACTAGAGGCATAGCCTCCGCGCAAGCGCGGAACCGGGTACATTTTTGTTGTTAATGTGTTGTGTAATTGTGTGCAAGTCATTTTACATTTGTTTTTCTTTTTAATTTTTCTTTTTCATGTTGTTTATCATGGTGATGAATGGAACATTGGAAATCACACAACTTGAGTAAGGCGATATAATAATGGCTGGCGAATTCACATATACTGATAGTTTCATATTTTGTTTTCGCAATGATTTGCTTTTTCAAAAGCTGAAGTTTATGGGGTTGGTTAGTGTTTACTTAGGCACATTAGAAGTTCTATAAATAAATAATATTGGGATTTGAAAATTTATTAATATATAAGACATTAATTTATCAAACAATTTCTTATTAATTTTATTTTATTTTAAGATATATTTATTCTTATATAAGAAAAATATTTGATTTTATTGTACCGACATTAATTATTATATTTTCATATTTGATATTTATATTAATTTATTATATTAATTCATGTATATTGTATGAAATTTAAATGTAGTTTTAGATATAATATTACTAAGTCTCATAAAAAAAAATATTAAGTGTTGAAAATAAAAATCTAATTCTACTGTGAATATATAAAATAATATAATGATAGGTTCTTATTTATATAAAACATGTATACATACATGTATAAGTCTCAGGCTATTATAGATTTGATGAAGCTTATTGTATATTTTTATTAAAAATATATATTTTATTATTTATTAATTGTATTTTATCTAAAATAAATGACTGTACATATATATAACATGTTAAAACAAATTTTTATTATGATTTTAGATTAGCAATATTTATTCACCAAAATTATTTATCATACATCAAAACAAATTTTGAAGATATGAAAATCAAATATGTATCTACAATTTTTTTTTATAATATAAAATGACAAATACTATTTATATTTGTTTAAATTAACTTTGTGTAAACTTAAATGATTTAAAGTTAAAATCACTATATATATAAGTTGATTGAAAGCCAACACTAGCATTTTCATACTTAGTCATCTATGTTGGTTACAGTGTTCTTCTTTTTCAACTATAACAACTAACGACTTTGAATGTCAAAGCTTACTGAGACCATTGCATTTTTGGTAATTACATAATTTTAGAAAAGTTTATAAATTAATCGTTTGAAAACGTATGGATATGTTTGCTGAAGTTGATCGATGGCGTCCAGCAGTTAAGTACTGACACAACACCAATTATTTGGCTTCCAAAATTATTCTACAAATTTTGAACTCACTCAAAAAGAAATAAAAAATTTCTATCTCTCATATACCAAATTTCACTACATAATAAAGAGCATAACGAAAGATAGAGCATGAGAGATCATTGTGTTTATCAACCAGAGACTAAATCTTTACCACATTACTGTCTCATAAAGAAAAAGGAAGAAAAATATATATGATTTTACATCAATCTCAAGCTTCCAAGATTACTATACAACTAATACTATTCCGAAATAGTAACAATCTTTGTCTATCATTCACTACATAACATAAAAAAAAAAACATTGAAAGATCTTAAAGACGTAAGTTCCATCACTCATACCTGACTTCGAAATCAAGCAGCTGCATACAAAATCATCCCAGCTTTCCTAGCATAAGAAAAAATCCCACACATCAATCACAGGCCCAGTGTCACCAGTGGTCTTAAGCTTATACTCTTTCTCTGTGGTATGATTAACCAAAAACCGATCCCCTACCCTTAACTCCACTGTTGCGACATCCCCCGTCCTAGACTCATCACAAACCCTAACCTCTGAATCCAGCGGATAAATCTCCCAGTCCCCACCGAGTTACTAAAAAAGATCCCCGCGTCACTTTGCGCCACCATCGCCTTCACCCCTGTC